TCATGAGGACGCGGAGGCTCAGAGTGCTGATGTGACTTGCCAGAAGTCACGTGGCTACTGAGAGGTAGAACTGGAAACTTGGCCCCTGGTTTCCTACCCTGAGGCCATTTCCTAGGAACTTTGCTGCCTCAGTGAGGATATGATTCCACACTGCAGCCTGACTAATGTGTGAGCTCTAGTAATTCATGATGCCATGGCGGCATGTGGAGGTCACAGGGTTTATACCACCTGAGAAGGTCCCGCCTGGGAGCAGGAAGGGGCCTTATGTTTTGTCGTCTTTCTTCAGGGCACATGGAAGCCTCACTCCTCTAGAGCTAAAGAAGGCCATTTCCTTCTTCCATGCTCACTGTTGGCTTTTAATCTGAGAGAGATCCCAGGGTCCATCTCAGCAGGGAAAATGGAAGAGGAGGTTCTGCAGTGATCACACTGCATCGTAATTACCTCATTACTCTGCTGCCTCCCCTCTGGCCGTCAGCCATCTGTCCATCCCAGTATCCTCAGTACCGGCCACTTTGCGGGTTCATCTTAGGTGCTTAGTGTTGAATGAGTGGGGAGCACCCTACTGCTTTCTGACTATGAGCACACTACACAGCAAATGCCAACTCACAATGAGATTGCAGAGAGGAGCCAGTGACGTTATGGGTGTACGTTGGGTCCTGGGGTCCCTTCTACCCTTGAACCTCAACTCCTATACCTGATTTGGTAAAGGTACCAGATGGAGCACTCACTCTACCAGCTGGTGGAGGCCGACATTTGCGGCCTGCGCAGGGCGCTGGATGACCTCACACTTGCCAAGTGCGACCTGGAGGCCCAGGTGGAATCCCTGAAGGAGGAGCTGCTCTGCCTCAAGAAGAACCATGAACAGGTGGGGTCCTTTGTGTGTGATCCGTGTAGACGTCTGGGGGGTGAATGCAGGCTCAGTTGAAGGAAGAAACGAGGCTCTTCCTCTGGCTCAGGATGGAAGCTCTGCAGGCCCTGCCTTATGGTTAAGCCTCGGAAGCTATGAAGAGGAGCTCTGGTATTCAGTGGGAGCATGTTCTTCATCCGCAGAGGGTGAAGGAAAATCATTGGGATGACGGGCAGTGGGAGATCATTGAGGCTTTGGGTGGAGGTAGTAGGAGCTCAGTGAATAGGACATCCTCCTTCTGTGCCCACAGGAAGTCCACACTCTGACGTGCCAGCTGGGAGACAGGCTCCTGATTGAGCTGGACACGGAGCCCACCGTGGACCTGAGCAGGGTGCTGGAGGAGATGCGGTGCCAGTATGAGACCATGGTGGAGACCAACCGGCATGATGTGGAGCAGTGGTTCCAAGCTCAGGTGAGGCGGTGCTACAGAGCAGGGGGCATGGGGGCCGGGGGAGCCTGGCTTCCATGTGGGCTAGTGAGCTGACCTGGTTGTTTATCCTACTGTGCTTCAGTCTGAAGGCATCAGCCTGCAGGCCATGTCCTGCTCTGAGGAGCTGCAGTGCTGCCAGTCGGAGATCCTGGAGCTGAGGCGCACAGTGAATGCCCTGGAGGTGGAGCTTCAGGCTCAGCACCACCTGGTGAGCTCCTGTGCGTGCATGGAAGACTGGGCTTGGCTCCCACTCCCAGGAACAGTTCCAGGTTCAGTATATGCCTCCCTTAAATAGAGACCAGGGCACAGCCTGAACCTTGACCTCATCCCCTTAGCATTGGACATTCTCATTATGTGAATGCTGAGGGAATGCACATTAACCCAGATGAGGGAGGTTCTGCAAACCCCTCCCAAGGTCTACGATGAAGAGCCATAGCACATTGTCCACTCCTCCAGCTGGAGACTGCTAACAGGGGCTGGACTGTCCTCTGGCAACCTCCTGGGGGTGTCATCATCTGGCTGCAGAGCCTGCGGGCAGGAATCCATGCTTTTTAACCTGCTTCTCATTTTCTTTGGCATCACAGAAGGACTGTCTGCAGAACTCCCTGTGCGAGGCCGAGGCCCGCTTCGGCACCGAGCTGGCCCAGATGCAGTGCCTGATCAGCACCGTGGAGGAGCAGCTGGCCGAGATCCGGGCTGACCTGGAGCGGCAGAACCAGGAGTACCAGGTGCTGCTGGACGTCAAGGCCCGGCTGGAAGGCGAGATCGCACGTACCGGAACCTTCTGGAGAGCGAGGACTTCAAGTAGGTCCTCTGATGTCTGTGTCAATGTCACGTGTAAAAGCAGAGACCTCTTATTGGCAATGCCCTAGAGGTGGCACTGCAGATGCAATCTTTGAAGACAAACTTGTTACCCAAGGTCTAAAACCCCGTTTGCTCCTCCGATTCCAGAGTGCCGGTATACTTTTGTCTTTCATGAACTTCTGATGCCAATGTTACAAACAGCGTTTTTCTCTTTGCAGGCTTCCCTGCAACCCATGCACAACCCCGGCCTCCAGCACCCCCTGTCCAGCCCCTGCAGCCTGTACCCCCTGCCCTCCCTGCCCTTCCAGGCCTCTTCAGGCCTCCCGTGGGCCCTGCTCGTCGCCTCAGCGCTGACATATTCCTCAGCCCGAGGTGCCAGAAAACAGAACACGATCCTTCGGCTCCATCTAGCCTTATTGCCTCAGCCAACCCCGGAGACTGGAGCCAGGCGGGCGGCGCTTCTCCTTGGGGGATTCCAGTCCTGCCGCTCAGCTCCAGGCCCTGGACTTGTGCTTCCTTTTCTCTCTTCCATTGCCTCCTGGTTTCTCTGAGATGTGGCAGGTAACCTTTTTTTATTTTATTTTACTAATAAACTGCACCTTCTGCAGCACAAGGAGGCCAGAGCCTGCTGGTCTCAGTTTCTCCATCCCATGCCGAGAGCAATGCTGGGAGCTCCTTGAACCAGCCGTTCCCGCAGAAGCAGGGCTTGTGGCTCTGGGAGATGGCAAAGCCGGTGATGACTGGGGTTGAACTGGGACTGCAGCAAAACGGCACGGACGAGAGATGCCTGTCTCTGGACCTGCCCCAGCCTATTTAGACCCGGATTCACAGAGCTTTTAAGGCACAGACACTAAAACACTCCACCCCTTTATCTGGCTGCAGCATCACGGCTCTTGCACAGAGGAAAAGCTCCATCCAGAGGTCCTGCCAGGTCTCTGCATAAAGTCAGCTTCGTGATCTCATGCTCCTGACCAGCAAGGCCCCGTGCTGGGCGTTACAGACCTGTGACCAGGGTCCCAGAGAAACCCGCAACAGGGAGCAGCTGTCATTATACTCAGCTGGTGGCTGAGTGAAGGCTTGACCTGCAGTCCCTTTGAACTAGACCAGTGGTCGGCAAACTCATTAGTCAACAGAGCCAAATATCAACAGTACAACGATTGAAATTTCTTTTGAGAGCCAAATTTTTTAAACTTAAACTATATAGGTAGGTACATTGTTATTAACTTAGTTAGGGTCCTCCTAAGGCTTAGGAAGAGCCACACTCAAGGGGCCAAAGAGCCGCATGTGGCTCGCGAGCCGCAGTTTGCCGACCACTGAACTAGACCAAAGCCCATCCTCTGGGAGCTTTGAAGGGGAAAGCAATCCGACATGAGAAGGTTTAGGGTGGTGGTTAAGTGTGGTCCTCCAACCGGTAGCACCAGCACTACTGGAAACTTGTGGAAAATCCACATTCTTGAGCTCCACCCGAGACTTTCTGAAGCAGGAGTCTGGTTTACCAAGACTTCCGGATGATTCTATGCACTCTCACGTTCGAGAACCACCGGGTTAGGGGCTTTATTTGGGGAGTGAGCCCCTGCCTGGCCAGACCCTGCTCTCCTGGCCAGTCCCATGGGGGAGGACTCCCTCAGACCGCTGCGCTAGAGCATTTCCCCTGCACATGACGAAACTCTGGACATATTTAACCCTGGTGATTGCTGAGCCTGTCAGACTATCGGTCTATCCATCAAACTGACCCACCCACGCTTCTCAACAGGCTCCCCTGGCAAGTCCTTCTGGCAGCTGCTGGGCTTGAAACTTGCAGGCAATAGACACATGGGCCGGAGGCTCCATATTTTGGCTGAGAACAGCACATCTCCAGAAAGCAGCATTGCACCTGGCCAAAGGCAGGAGGCAGGGAGGTCCCCATCACAGGAGATACGCAAGCAGGGCCTTTGCAGCCACCTGGTGGGGATGCTGAGGCGGGGACTCAGGTAGTTGATGGGGCTGGACAAGATGATTGCAGAGGGTCTTCTAGTCCCCAGATTCTATGACTCCGCTTTCGAGGTCGTATTTATCTTACGTGTTAAAGTGGAGCCCTCTCTGCTCTGTGATCCCTCTGAATCGAAGTCACTTGCTGGGACATTTACAAAGTCCGGCTGATGGTTGTTGAATCCAGTCCATTTGGTGCAGGAGTGACTACAGTCTCAAGCTCCAGAGGTGGAGAGAGCTCGGGAGCTCTCTGCCTTCAACTGCTCTCAAGCCCAGACTCTTCTTATCTGTCGGCCACTGTCCGTGTAGACAGGGCTGATTTGCTTGGGAGGCGCCAGGACTCTGATCATACGAAGCTTCGGAAGGGTCAGAGGCTGTCACGCCCTCCTCTCCCACCCCACGTGGTGGAGGTGTTTGGGCACAGGTGACACACCCCTGAGGCACTACCCAAGAGTGGGTCCCACTAAGGAAGAGCAATTTTGATTATTCTTATTTTAGCACCTGGCTCAAACACCTTCCCCTCCTCCTTTGTACTTAAATAGCTCCTTTCATCCAACAAGTTCAAAGCTGCCTAACAAAATAAACCCACTTATTCCTGCACATGACAGAGTAGGCAAGCATTATTCTTCCCATTTAAGGGGAGAGAGAGAGAAGGTGAGTCATTTAGTGGTTGAGGGATTCTTCTGGTGACATGAAATGAGTCAATGGGGCCCCAGGGTGATTGACCCGTACTTCTTAAGTTCACATCCAATGCCCTGTCATTTATAATTATAAGAGTAGCTTTGATGAGACATTGTTTGTGTATGTGTGCGTGTGTGAAGTGGTTTGGGTTCCTGGGAAGAATTACTGGGTAGACGGGTCTATTATACTTGGGGAGGTGTGAGGAGCTTCCCTGGAAACCAAGCAGCCCATCATTATCATCATCACTATCATCACCACCACCACAATATTCATTTTCATCATCATCATCACATTGTATTCAAAGCTCACATTCATTGAGCTCTTACTATAAGCCAGGCACTAAATTACAGATAAGTTTATATATACATATATAAACTCAATTAACCCTTACAGCAATTCTATGAAGCCAATGCTTTTGCTATCCCTATTTTGAAGATGAGAAACTGAGGCTCAGAGAGGTTAAGTAACACACCCAAGATCACACAGCTACTAGGTAGTGAAGCCAGAATTTAGATTCAGGCAGTCTGCCCCCAGCAACTGCTCTTAACCTCTGTGCTTTACAGAGGCTAAGTCTCAGATTGTGTCAGCAGAACCTTAACTACCCCCAATGCGTTTCCTTGAAGGAAATGAGAGACTGTTTATGCCAGAGGAACCATTTCTGAGGCTTTATGTCACAAAAGGTGATACAAGGAAGGAAACTCCTATAGCATCTCAAAATAGCTTGAGGAGCTTGGTCATTTTAATGTCTGGGAATCACCAAGGAAGGTCACCCCACCCCCAGCCATTACTAAACCCACTCTGTCTATTGAGGAAGAGGAGGAGAAGAAAAACAGATTCCCATATACACGTTCATCATTTTACCATTGACAAAGCACTTTCATATGTGTTATTCAGTTTGCCGAACCCCGAGAGAGACAGAACAGGCGTCCGCATGCCCATTTGCAGTGGGAGAAGTTCAGGGTTAGGGAGGGGAAATGACCCCCTAAGTTCTCACGGCTGGTCTCACTCAAGCCCAGGCCTTCTCATTCCCAGGCCATTGCCCTTTCCCTGCGCTGAACCTCTAAGGCAGTGTTTCTCCACCTTCCTAATGCCGCGACCCTTTAATACAGTTCCTCATGTTGTGGGGATCCCCAACCATAAAATTATTTTTGTTGCTACTTCATAACTGTAATTTTGCTACTGTTATGAATCATAATGTAAATATCTGATATGCAGGATGTATTTAGGCGACCCCTGTGAAAGTTTCATTCCACCCCCAAAGGGGTCTCGACCCACAGGTTGAGATCCACTGCTCTAAGGGCTTTGCTGGAAGCACATCTGGACAACACTTCCCATTCAGACCTACCCCACCCGCTGGGAGGGGTGGCTGAGATGGATTTACACAGCAAAGGGATTGCAGGGCCTGGGGTTCTCCCCAAGGAGAGTCTTCCTGTGCTTTCTCCTACCCTGCACTGTCCGCCTCACCCAGCCACATTCAGACTGAGCTCCTGGCCTCTGGCCACCTACTGGCCTCTCTCAGCAGAGGCTCCCCCTTTACCCTGGTTTTTGTACCCAAATCTCCTTTTTCTCCCTTCTTCCTCCCTGGTTATCAGACATCCTCCACATGTGTCCAGCCATTCACGCTGGGCTCCACGACCCTCCGCCACACATCTGCAGCCACAGGAGGGCTCTGTCCCGAGGATGGCACAGCTGTGTCTGCTCACTAGCAGGTGTCACCTCCATTTCTCTCCACTGATCGCATCCCCCTTTCTATTTCCTCGTTCACTTGTTTGGTTTAGCACCTTTTCTTTCTTCTGCCTCATACCTGCCTCCTTCACCTGCTTTGCAACTCATCTCAGTGCCTACGGGGATGCTGCAGGGCTGAACCATTTGTGGTCTCCAAAACAACAAGAACCAAATATCAAAATAATGAATTATGCCCGGCCAACATGGCTCAGTGGTTGAGTGGCGACCTATGAACCAGGAGGTCATGGTTCTATTCCTGGTCAGGGTATATGCCCAAGTTGTGGGGTCCATCCCCAGGGTAGGGCATGCATGAGGCAGCCAATCAATGATTATCTGTCATCACTGATGTTTTTATCTCTCTCTCCTTCTTCCTTCCTCTCTGAAATCAATAAAAATATATTTAAACACACACACACACACACACACACACACACACACACACACACACACACATTACCAGGCCTGGTTGAAGCAAAGATTCTTAAAAAGATATGGGTTCTAACAAGATCAGTTGTTTGAATTCTACCTGACCCCACCTAGAGAGTGGGGTCACCAATACACCTTCAGAACACAGGTAAATCATCTGAAATGGCCTCATCCCTCAGCCCCTGGCTGAGAACTATGAACTGGGTTGAAAAGCCCTGACTGGGGTTTGGGGCACGAATAGGTGTGGGAAGAAGTGGGAAGGAAGAAACTTTTTTTTGAGGGGGGCGGGGGTGAAAGGCCCAATTACATTACCTCATATTAGAGTTAGTTGTGGACCTGTCTGTCTGCCCAACAGGACTGAGAGCTCACAGAGGGCAGGGGCCTGCCATCTCCCTCCCATCCCCCTGTCCTCCCAGCCCCAGCCCTGGGACTATGCCACGTGCTATGTAGACATTCAACAAATGCCTGCTTTCCTTAATGTCGCACATACAGCCTTATAATTACATTAAACACAGACCTATCTCCAAATGTCCAGCTCACACCTTTAAAACTTCTCACCTCCTTACCTTTTTGTTATTTCTCAAATATTTTGGGGCCCATATTAGCCTGAATTGCTCATGAAAAGATAAGCCTCTACTGGAACTACGAGTCTTCTGTATCACTGTGGTCCCATGCCCAGCACCGAGGAGCTGCTCAATAAATGCATTTGGAATAAAATTGAACTAAATGAAGAAAGTGGCTCTGATAGTCCATTGACTGCTCAGTTTCTTTCTGAATGAATAAGATTTGCAGCTATTTTAATTAGGACGTGAGAGAGTACGTGAAGTCTGATCCTCACCTGTGGGAGGTCATGGAGACCTCACAGCACCAGAGTCCCACTTCCCCTATGAATCCGAGCAACAAATTCCCCCAAGCCTATCGATATTCTAGAAACACCGCAAGAGAGAGGCTAGATTTACAAGGGACAGCAGCATTATGGTCACTCACCAGTCAGCCCATCTGCTGCTCCATCCAGAATTCTTGTGCCATTTCCCCTTCTGCAGGGATAAAGGAATCTCCAGGCAACACGGGTAACCTGTTCCTTCCCGCATCCCCCGCATGGCTGTTGATTAGCCGTGAACTGGAGCCCATGCAGGTCTGACTCCCTCTGCTCCTTGCTCCTCTGCACGGTCCTTACTCGTTCAGGAACAGGTAGCCTTGTCCCCCTTTTGACTTGCGCTGCCTCCATGCAGACAATGGTGTCCTTCTCAGCCACAGACACATCTCAGTGTGGATCAGGGAGGTGATGCTCTGGTCTGGACGCCTTGGAAGACTGCCGCTTCTTGCTTCTTTCAGAAGCCCCAGAAGCTGTGGTCTTGTGTCTATAGATCTTTCCCGAGTCATCGCCACTTACATCTCACAGGACACTCAGCAGGTGGGCCACTCTTCCATCCTCCAATGCAGGTTGTCTTGGTTACTTCCCAGTGTTGCATCCTCCAGGTTCACTCTTATGAAGACGGGGCATCTTTGTCTGATATGCGTGGCCCCATGTGATTCTGGGGATTCCTTCTAGGTTTCCTTCTTCCCTCTTCTTCACGTTCTAACCTCTCTTATTAAACACACCTCTCCCTGTTCCATCTCTCTCCATTTCTCTGGTCTCTGCGTTGTGCACAAATTCGGTGCCATTACTTGTCAATCCAATCCTCCAATCTTTTCGTATTTACAACCTGCACATTCTCCTTTGACTACTGCCTTCACAATGCTACACTGGCCAGTCAGGAGATCAGGCCAAAGAGCTTAAAGGATGCTGCTGGCATTGAGTCTGTGCTCAGAGGAACCCTCCCTGGGTGGCGAGGAAGGCGGGATTGAGGAAACAGCTCCTTGCAGGCTGACAAGTTGGGAAGCAGGAGGCTCCGTGCTGTTCTCTACAAGCAAATGCTCACGAGGCTGATTCACAGGCCTTTCCATTCGTCCCGAGCCCAGATGAAGTGAGATGGGAGCTTCCTACTGACTGAGCTGCCCAGCCTTGTGCCTTTGCTCTGGAGAGTCGGTGATGCCTGCCCCGGCACCCATCTATTTCTTCTCCTTTAATTGCCCTGGAGGAAAACAAAGAAAATTTGATTTTATTATATGCCTGGGGCTTCTTTGTAGTGCGGTGGGGCATCTTAATGGCATTATAGTAAGTGGCGATAATGGCCTTGGAGAAGGCAGATGAAGGACCTTTTATCTGAGACTCAAGCAGAGAGCCGTCAGAATACTGGCATGAAAGCTGGATGGGAAGAAGGACTCCAATAAGTTGTCAATAAAGCTGCCACTCTGGCTGGCAGCCAAAGCCACAGTGGAGGTTGGGGTGCTGCTACCCAAGATGCAAGGGGGGCCCGGTGATGCCTATAATTATGCAACTGATATATATACTCAGAACTTTGGCCACCTCTTCCTCAGACCTTCTATGCCTGCCTTCAGACCTTCTGGTGCCTTTCCTCATCCCTCAAACCAACCCCAATCCTCCAGGCTTGCTTTGCTACGTCCCCTGCTTATGCGGCATCTCAGCATTTTCTCTCCCTGTGAACAGGTCCTTGGATTCAGTGACATGACCACAGAGCCGTCCCTGGTACCTTCTAACTTTTGGTTCTTAAACCAGGTTACGTGGAACCGAGAAAGGCTGGGGATGGGAAGCCCAGGACAGGATCAGTACATCTCCCTGGTGTATCGATTTCACTTAGCGAACTGGGCAAAAAGTTAGATAGTTTAACTGGAAACTTTGGAACGATTTTTTATCTTAAAGCCAAAATGGGTATATGACAAAATATGAAGTCAATCCACATGATGCTTTAAGATCAACCTCAAAGGTTTTCATGCTTGTGGAAGCCCCTCTGGGCGGTCTCTGGACTTTCCCAGCTACCGGCTTACTCTGTCCCAATGCTATGGACACCCGTGGAAAAGTCCACCGTCACCTTCTTGTTCCTTCTCACCTGTCTCCAGATGCTTTTCCCAGGTCATTGAAAAGCATTTGTATGGCTCTCTCAGCTTGCATTTTTCCCAACTCTTTTTCAAAATGATCTCTTCCTCCAGAAACTCCCCTGACCCCCAACTAATGATCAAAGCCTCTACCTTTAAAATCTCTCTACAACGCCTTTACGGGATATACAAGAGGTGTTACACAAACAGCTGTCCACCTTCTCAGCCAGTCCTATCCACCTCCGGGTTTCCAAGGCTTGGGGTGCCACAGTGCTGAAGGATTCGACTCTTAAAGCAGATGGAAAGGGTGCCCATTGCTGCCACTTCATACAACTTCTTCCTTGAGGGACTGGGATTGCCCAGTCCCTCCCTAGAGATGCCGGGTGGGCTATGAGGTGGGTCTGATTATGGTTTTACAGGATCACGTGACGCAAAAGAATGTCACTGGATAGACCAACTCCCAGTTAACAAGGGCAGTTACTTGGGCTAGACTGTGTGGCCTCTTTGAAGGTCTACCACAAAAGTCTGATTTCATGGGTGTACTGAGAGGAGTCCTGACTTAGCAGGAAGCTCAAGTAAAGAATTTTATGGGACAAGAATTTTATGGGACAAGAGACTCTTATGAGGAAGGCAAATAACAGACTGAAGGGAAGGGCATTTGAAAAGTGGTGAAGATGTAAGAAGAAAAAAGACTTTACAGACTATGTCCACACCCTCTGTAGAGAGGGTATAAATGCTCCTAGAAGAAGGAGTCCTACACGCTCCTTGGAGAGCTGGGACTCTGTTTTCAGCTGGGTGACTTGCTCCCTCCCAGCACCATGCCTTACAACTGCTACCTGCCCAACCTGAGCTTCCGTTCCAGCTGCTCCTCCAGGCCCTGCGTGGCCCCCAGCTGCCACAGCACCCCCCTGCCCGGGGCCTGGAACATCCCCGCCAATGTGGGCAACTGTGGCTGGTTCTGCGAGGGCTCCTTCAATGGCAGCGAGAAGGAGACCATGCAGTTCCTGAATGAACGCCTGGCCAGCTACCTGGAGAAGGTGCGGCAGCTGGAGCGGGAGAATGCAGAGCTGGAGAGCCGCATCCAGGAGCGCTGCCAGCAGCAGGAGCCCCTGATGTGCCCCAGCTACCAGTCCTACTTCCGGACCATCGAGGAGTTCCAGCAGAAGGTGAGGGGCCTTGCTGTCATTGCTAAGCAAGGGGAGTTTGCCATGATTGTCAATGTGTGGTAGAGAAGTGTGTTTCTTGCTTCTATGTCATCTTGACTCTAGCTTCTCCTCTTTACTGTCCTCACTAAGTGCCCTCTCATTCTCCAGATCCTGTGCGCCAAGTCTGAGAACGCCCGGCTGGTGGTGCAGATTGACAACGCCAAGCTGGCCGCAGACGACTTCAGGACCAAGTAAGTTCTTTCAGAATGTGCACTGGGGTCCACTTCTTTTGTTAAATCTCCAGAAGAAAAGGGATTCCCATAGCTTTATTGAACAATGGTTTGACCCATTGGTCACAAAGGATTCTACAGGGATTGAGGGGAACACAGCTAAGTAATCACCAAGAGATGAGGGCTCAAATCAATCATTGCTTTTTGGATCCATATTGGGTCTTGATAGCCTCCAGAACCCTCTATCTCCTGGTTTCACTCATTGCAGAAAGTGGAAAGACAAGAGGAATGGGGTTATCAGAGATCATCCCTGAGAGTCTTGGAGGTCTGCCAGTTACTGTTCTGATCCTGTCCTTGTGCAGGTACGAGACGGAGCTGGGCCTGCGGCAGCTGGTGGAGTCGGACATGAATGGGCTGCGCAGGATCCTGGACGAGCTGACCCTGTGCAAGGCCGACCTGGAGGCCCAGGTGGAGTCCCTGAAGGAGGAACTGCTCTGCCTCAAGAGGAACCATGAGGAGGTGAGGCCGGAAATGAGAAATGAAGAAACCTGATTTAGTCTCCTGCTGAGGTGGCTTTAATGATTTCCTTTTAAAACACCAACACTTCATAATGACAGAAAAAAATGAAGAGGTGAAACCTATACATGGTCCCAGATAAGTTGTCTCTTTCACTCATAATTGGATTTCCCCGAACACTCCCACCAGCTTGTGATTGGTCGCTGTGTTGTAGAATGCCCACATTGGCGGGGGTGTTCCAGGCCCCATTGTTGTATTCATGCTATGCAAAGTCATTTCTCACCATGAAGAGCCAAAAGAGTCTCTACTCTTTCAAAGTCTTGGTGAAGAATAATCCGGGGCTCCTTCTTCTCTCTCCTGGGATTAAATTATTCTCTTACTTGATGGCAAGAATTATTTGATGCAAACTGGGAAAGTGGAGGATTAGTCTGATATTCAGTGGCATCCAAGCAGGTCCTTGGAAATATATATCTTTTAAAAATTGTTGACACTATTACAGATGTCCCCTATTTCCTCTCCCTTTGCCCCCCTCCACCCAACTACCACTCCTCTACCTCTGAGATGTGTCAGTCTGCTCCATGTTTCACACCTATGGTCATAT